AACATGCACGGGCCCGTGAAAATTTTGTTCCAGTAAGTTGCTAACTCAGGGGCCACGGAAGCTGGAAAGCTGAAATTTTGAAATTTTAGGAGGATGTTTCCTGAAAGTTCTGGCGGTCAGTCTTAGTTTGTTTAGCTAGAAGCATCTGCCGAAAAAACCGGTGCCGATAGCAACAAAAACTGCGGGGAACCGCGCAAAAAACGCATCTTCGCACGGGCAGCCCGTGCGTTGGCTAATTATCTGGATTTATGATACCAGCTCAAATTTCAGTTTGCACTCGTAGCTCAGGGAGCTGAACGGTGAGTGACTGCATTGGACATTCACTTTATAAGACTCAATAAACTGTTTTCTAAAAGACGTCAGATTGATCCAAATTTCACTTTGATCACAGGCTGCGGTGTGAAGCATCAGAAGTTATTTTCCTAAACTAATTAATAAACTAAAGTCCTGAACTTTCAAGTTTGTACATTAGTTAATCTGAAATTTCAAAAATTTAGCTATAAATGAGGCTTGAAGTCATAAACTAGAATAAAGGGACTAAAAAAAATAAAGGGACTAAAAATTGATTTCAGCTATGTACCCACATGCGGGCTGAAAGCACACTATCAAAACTTTATCGTACGAATTACACGATTCCGTGGTTCATTTATGCAGACGGATGGACGCATCAGTGCACGCATGGCTTCGTTTCCACATATTTTTCTTTAATTTATGCGAGACAAGTGTGAAAAACATGAAAACTGGGTAGGATCGCAAACGATTAGAAAATGTGCTGTTAGGCAGGAGAAAAAAAACATTTCAACCGCCATTTCAAAAACCGTACGTAGCACATTGCTTGTTGCTAAAAGCAGAGACTTAATGTGCGCCAAAATAGAATGCATTAATCGAAGAAAAAATGAGGCGTAGCAATTTGCAGATGCCTTCAGGACTGGTTTCAGGTTACCGGACTAATCAACAAACAAACGAAACAAGAAATCTTAAAGCCATCACCTTGCCTGCGTCGAAAAACTTGAATGCATTTGGTTCACAGAGCGCGGCTTCGAAAACAGGTAGAGCAGCAATGATTCGGTGAGCCGGTATATCCACTTATCTGAACGAATGAAGCAGCAACACATCCTTATTCAAGCCTTCGAAAGCAGTCAATTTTTGTCCGGTTAAACTGAACTCACAATGTATGTCATATTCTACCAGCATACGTTTTTTTAAAGATGAATTGCCTGGTGACAGTTCAATCTCAAAACAGTGAAAGTTAGAAAGCTTATCCAGCAAAGAGGGCTTGTCCCAAACTGTAACCAAATAACATTATTTCCTCAATTAAGAATGCCTCAATTTCACTTATTAAATTTGTTTTTAAGTCTTGTAATCTAGAAAAGTTCGACAGCCCCATTTTAAGTGCGATTATCGGAAGACTCAGATAAGACAAAATAATATTTTCGGCAAGTCCTGATAAAATTAAAAACTATGTGTTTTTAATCCACTGACCAATATTTTATTATAGCGACGCAGTTTTGAAAAGGGTGTGAAGGGTGTTAGGACTCTGCTCAATAGTGCAGTACGTGGCGAAGGATGTCAGTTAAGTTAGCCAACGCTTTTTAGAAAGTGTACGACAAA